TGATAAGATTTAAGAACTTGCATTATGTCTGGGAAGGAAAAGAAACATGTCATACAAAGAATTTCGCGAACTAACTTTAAAGACTTAATTGACAATTAAATCTTCATTATATAAGTTTAAGTTGTTACTTAAATTTATTTGTTATCTTTTAACTTTTAACATTTGAGATGGACCTGTTAGCATAGGCTATGAATTGCTGAACATGCTTGAACTTTAATAGCTTGCTCTTGTTATCTGAAAGACATATTATGCTTCAGTGATTATTGAATTTTTTAAATTTCTTGCGTGTTACTTGGCACTCCTAAGCTTGCAATTGGAATCTAGAATTGGAGAAACCTGTTTGACTTCTATTGTGTAACTTTTTAAATTTCTTGTGTGTTATCTGCATCTATCTATGCCTTGATTGAAGTAGAAACTTTTGCATTTTAAGTAATGAGCAAGTATAAAAAGGTAATGTGTATATCATGTAATAGGTGCAGCAAAAAGTGAAAACGTTCGAAGAATTGAAGAAAATGATAGGACATTGGATGATGAAATAAATGAGTTTAAGGTGGGGTTTTTTTTTAAAGTTAATTTTCTTACTATATGAAGTTCATTTACGTGTTCGATTTTTATTGTTGGATTTGCAGGGATAGGTGTAGGATACGTGCCAAGGACTCTAGATCTTCCTACTTAAGGGACGTGTAAACAAATTAGGACTTCTCAAATCGTGCGTATTACTCGAGAGAACATTAGAGTTTTATATAATTAGCTGAGCAGACGAGCTATAAGTTTTGGAGTACATAGTTGTTAGTTCATGATATAAGAGCCACATTAGATGTATTCATACTTAGTGAATGATTTTTATTTATGTTTTGATGATATGTTTTGGATTCAATGTTATAGTGACTGACATTACATATTTTAATTAATATAGTCTTTTTGCATCTTTATATTATTTTGAATATCGTTAAAAATTTACTATGTAAAAATAATTTAATTTCTTTCATAATAGCTTGCAAACATGCTTTCCCTACAAAAAAAAAAATATTTGTAGGAAAAAACAAGTTTTAGCTTACAAAATAGTCTATACCATGTTACCACAAATTTCTAATTGTTGGGAAAATGTGTATGTTTTACCCTACAAGTAATTTGTAGGGAAAAACGAAATTATTTTGTAGGCAAAATTAACTTTAGCAAACAAATAATTTTGTCGGGAAAAAACTGACTTAACGTATTGTATTCATCTCCGAAGGGTCGTAGGGAAAAGCTTTAGCAGACAAATTTCAAAAATAGTGAGCTAAACTCTATTCCCTCGATGTTTGCCCTACAAATATCCCTACAAAATTTTTTTGTCTACAAATAAGAACTTTTCCCTACAAATAAATTTTGTAGAGAAAAGGTAAAATTCTTGTAGTGATTCAGGGTTAGACATTTCCTAACATTACATTATTATTAGCACTATCACCATAGGGATGAATACAAATAAAATAGTGTTATCACATGTCACACAGTGCGGGTTGTTTTTATCACATTGAACCTTATTCGTAATATCTCCAATCACAAAGGTTGAGTTACTCCCGATTATGATTCCTTTATAGGCTTAAGCCCATCTCCCTCGATGATTTATGTATGTCCATCTTGGACTACAAGTTATTTATGTCCCTCTTGGATAATAATATGGTACCATCAATTTGTAAAGCTCTTGTTCTTTGTATGCACTTCTACACATACGCAAAATCTTTCAAGAAATTTTCAAAGTATGATCAAATAAATACATGAAATATTTAATATTGTCTTTAATAACACATTTGAATATATGCATCCATTGAGCTCTTGCATTTCAAATATATTCAGTTTGTGGACAGTGGCGAATCCAAGACTTCGACTCAGTTAGGGCGGCCGTTGATCGTTAGTTGTTGTCTGTCGATAATTAACGGTCGTCTATCGATATCGTTTATTAATATTAAATTAAATAATATTAAAAATTCTTCGATCTATATGTAAATATACTAAAACGTAAAAATTGTATATTTATATCATATTATATTTCCATAAAATCCGAAATAATATAAATTACATGATACATAAGACTTATTTGTGTTATCAAAACTTAACAAATCGTTTGCTTGGCTAAAAGTAGTTGAGATATTAGATACACCACTACAAAAACTAGATTAAAATTCAATTGAAAAAATCATTCCATAGTTAGTATGAGAATTGAATGTTAATCAAAGATTAAACGTAATTAAAAGTAATTTTAAAATATAATTATAATTTCAATTTTTAATTCTCAACACCAATTCATCACAAATTATAAATTCCCCAATTTCTCATTTTTGATTTTCATGAATTACATATTCACATTTCACGATACTCAAATTAATTTTTTATATCACAATTCACAATAGACAAATTCTCAAATAACATATAACTTAAAAATTAATACTCATAAGTCATATCTTATAAATTATTAAAGCATAAAATATTTTTAAAAACATTTTTTAAAGTCTTAACATATATTATTTTGTTAAATTTAGATTCAAAATTCAACCATTACCATAATGGTTAAGCTTCCAATCATCCTAATTCTAGAAGTTAGATGTTCGAATCCTTTCCTTAGTAAATTAATTTTGGTAAATACTGTAAAAATAAAAATTTTACACAATGAAATTGAGGGGAAGGAATCGAACCCAAGACTCACAATATATAAAAGGAAACTCTAACCAACTAAGCAGAAGAGATGTTTGAAAATAAAATAAACTACTAATTATATAACCTAAAATTTTATCTATTACCAACAAAAAAAATTCTCCTCGACGAATCCAGCTAGGGCGGCCGTCCTAGCTGGCTACATACTAAATCCACCCCTGTTTGTGGAACTTAATTTTCATGGCCATAGTTTTCCACCATGTCACCTATATGAATATGATAAGAACATAGGAAACACATGCACTTTATCCTGCCAAAATGTCCTACATAAACATGTACTAGCAAAATATTGCTGCCAATCTTCTTACTTTTCCAAGATATGCTAGGAACTTAGGCATGTGCTAAAAAAATTTCTTAAGTACGCACTAATACTAACAAAATGATTACTTTGGGATCCAAATGTAATTATAAAGAAAATTGGTTAACTATATAATAGGACCAACCGTTCAGATAACAATCAAAATTGAGAGAGCGTGTGTGTGTAATAATAAAGTCCATTTGATAACCTCCATATTCAAGCCATCTATAATGTGCTTTATTGAAATCTATAAATTTTTATGTTTTCTCTTTTGACGGGATTAAACGTGACGCACATGTTTATTCTAGTATCTACAGAATTGACTAAATAATTGGTTATATAAAGAATACCTATGAAAAATAATTGGCCAATTTTGCATGAAAATGTATACACTCCGTTGGCTATAAAGTATAAATCACCATTACATAAATTAGACAGAAATATATAAAATTGTATTTAACAACACTAATAACATTATAATTTAAATAAAACCATTATATTACAAGATAAAAATCCCCAAAATTAGACCAATGGGCTAAGCTAAGAAACATACAAAGCCTAGTAATCGAAAGTACATCGAATCATGAATAAAATAAACATTACCAACAAATCAAATTCACATTCTCATCACATTTTGCCACTTAGATTTAAGATATTTGCACTATATCTTGGAGAAAAAAAATGCAATATAGAGAATTTCGCGAACTAACTTTAAAGTCTTAATTGACAATTAAATCTTCATTATACGAGTTTAAATTGTCACTTAAATTTATTTGTTATCTTTTAACTTTTTATCTAAGCAAACATGCCCCTTTTTATTTTATTTTATTTTATTATTATTTTGGAAAATAAAGTTATCTTTCCACGTCTAAATAGGGGTTAATAAAAGCATTTTAGCTGTCAATTACCTATTTGACTCGAAAGAACAAAAGCTCATATTAAACATACATCAAAACAAAAGTAACAATTTTTTCAATTCATCCCTGAGCCTATTTTCTTTTGACATTTTTACAAGTCACGTTCAGAAAGTTAAATTTTCACTTGTCTAAAATAGTTTAATCTCCTATTTCCATCTCAATACATACACATCACAAATTTTATTACACAATAGAAATACATGTATCATATCTTTAAATTTCATTTTAATTTTAAAATATAACACCTAAATAGGTAGCATGCTTTTTCCAAACAAAATATACGGACACACCAAATCACTTTTTCTGTGATTACAAGTAATCAAATAAGGTCTTAAAAGATATCATAAAAAGAACATACCATTTATATAAATATTTTACATGTGCCAAAAGTCCTTAACCTTTCTAAGCTTAATTTCTTAAGAAATCATGATGCACATTTCTTGTTTTTTAGGATTCATGTTTCTCAGTTCTATACATGCTTCATGGTCAAACGTCACACTCGTAAAATCAATCTCAATCTTATATTTATCAGATGTACTCATTTAGGTGAGTATTAATTTATATACATACACGTGCGTGCAATTATTCAATATCTCCAAGTAAATTGAAATTATCTTACAAATTAGGGTAGTTAGCACAAAACATTCTTACATTTCAATATTGTTGTGCAAAACGTCCATACATTTTATTTTCTGGCATTTTAACCATTAACTTCACATTTTATTGCGAAAATCATCATTTTCATCAAATTTCTCGTGTAAAATGACCAATATACCCCATATTTAAATCAAACGATAAAAAAGCAAAGAAAAGTTAAAGAATAAATTGCAATCATACTCCCAATCTTTTTTAAAAAGTGCAGATGAGTTCACACAAATTATTAAAATGGTAATTAGCACAAAACGTCCATACCTTTCATCATTATTGAGCAAAACGTCCATACTTTTATTTTTTGACATTTTTATCCTTATTTTTATATTTAAAGACGAGGATATATTGGTTATTTTACAGCTTTTAATTGAGAAAATTGATGAAAATAGCGATTTTTGCAATGAAATATAAAAATAAGGATGAAAATGTCAAAAAATAAAGATATGGATGTTTTGCGCAATAATGATGAAAGGTATGGATGTTTTGTGCTAATTACCATTTTAATAATTTATGTGAACTCATTTGCACTTTTTAAAAAAATTTGGGAGTATGATTGCAATTTATTTTTTAACTTTTCTTTTCTTTTTTATCATTTTATTTAAATATGGGGTATATTGGTCATTTTACACGAGAAATTTTATGAAAATGATGATTTTCGCAATAAAATGTGAAGGCAAGGGTAAAAGTATCAAAAAATGAAAGGTATGGACGTTTTACATATTAACATTGAAAGGTAAAGACGCTTTGTGCTAATTACCCTACAAATTAATATGCATGCAAAAGTGAAGATCAAAGAGAGAAAATGATAATTAATCGGAGACATAATTTTATTAAACCTAAAAGAAAATGAAATTTCATGTCCCTTTCATAATGTAAAAGTTTAACCCCTACCGTAATGAAAATTAATTCATCAAAAGAGGTTACATCTAGCCCTTGTTTGGGCCCCATTTTTTCATCAGAATCCATTTTTAGCAGTGATTTGACACCATTTCAATTATATATTTTTCTATAAAAATAATATTACACGCAAATTCAAAACTATTGTTTATTTTTTAACCACATATTCTCCATCACAACAATATTTCAAAATGCAATTTTTTGAGAAAATTGGGCTCAAACAACGCCCTAATGTAATGATATTTTAATTTTATATTAAATCTGAAATTGAATATAAACCTGGAATTTTTTAATTTTTTTTTTATTAATTTTGAAATTTAAAACCTATTAATATATATGTTACAACAATATCTTGTCATACCACCCACAACTAATACATTTAAAAGATAAGTTACACTCATTAATTAAGATTTTCAACTTTCTACTAAAATTGAAAATCAAAAATCAAAACTGAAATTTTGAGAAGGTTTTAATTTTGAAAGACTTAAACTTCCTTTATATGTTACACATGGGACGTAAATAAAATCATGCAGATTAGTTATGAAATTACACTCTTTTAAAATATTAATTCAGCACATTTTTCACAAATTATAGATTTTCTTCCATCTAATGTTATTTATCATCCCTTACATCCAAACAAGGTTGAGAAAAAATTCCAATTTGTTTCACCATAAGTTTAAATTTCAGTCAATCACATATTATTTCACTAGATATCCAAAGGTCAAGAAAAAGACAGAAATAATGCCACAACTCTTTCTAGGACCAATCAAAAAATATTTCCAAAAATAGAAACCTGAGGCAAAAGCAAAAAAAGGCACCACACAGAGGAGAGAGCCAGGCGAAAATTCCCGTACCATCTCTCCTCGAAACCAAAATAAATATTTCATTAAGTTTTTGACTTGTCATGTGAGCGCACCCGTCATGGCAAATGTCGACGAGACAAACCTAACATCCATTCTTTTTCTTACATATCGTCTCCCTTTGCTTCATTTTTTCCACAATACTTCTATCTTGTTTTCCAAATGAGCATAAAACGAATCGTAAATATAGACCTATTTAACAATTTAGAACATTGTGTCCATGTAGACAAATAATTTTTATCCTTTTATGTGCATCATCAAACATCCTCATATCATTTCGGCCAGGAGCATCGACATGAATTGGTGCCCCTGTTTGTGGCTAGAAAGCAAAATAGATACCATAAAGAGAGCGTGCGCTGCAACGACTTGTCAGCAGAACACCATTTCTTAACCTTTACACCGTTGTTGAAGATAATGACCACAATATTGTAAGGATAGATATTACAATATAATACATGTATGCTACATCACATCTCATGTGTTTACAAAAAATAACAAGTATCCAAACATAGTAAACATTTTAAAGATTATGCATATCTCTCTAAACACATAATCACCAAAACGACTTTAGATTGTTGAAAAAATTGGGTGATTTGTGTTTAGATACTTACTAATTAATATAATCAATTTATATATCACAATAAAATAATTCAACAATTATATGAGTATATGAGAAGAAGAGTAATCACGTCGTAAATACTGTCCTAAAGTCGTGTTGTCTTCCTTTCGTGCGAATACTTTCGACACTACATGACGCCAAGATGAAACCTATGACTTACAAGCGCGTTCTCCTTCTATGGACACGATCATAGGGAGATAAACGAACGAACCATTTTCAAGTTGCCAAAACTATAGAAAATAATATATAAGAATAGAAAGTATTGTTATGAAATTATCTTTTCCATGTGATGTTTAACTACATGAAAATCACTCCCTTTTACAGGGAGAAATTCAATCCCCACATTCATGAAAATAAATCTTATTTAAATATAAGTTACAATCTAAATTATGAGTTTCACATTTGTACTAAAATTTAAATTGAAAACTTAAATTCAAATTACTTTTAATTTTGAAATTTAAAACTTATTAAAACTTAAAGTTACAACACTTTATATGGAAAGATGACGAATGCAAAGAGTGTTTGACTCGTGCAAGATGTATGTCTATGGTTTGAGATTACCAAAGTTCTCACAATTACTCATTTAATTCTTGCCAGAAAACATGACATTTGCAACCAAACCAAAGTTCTCACAGTTACTCATTTAATTCTTGCCAGAAAACATGACATTTGCAACCAATGAAGCAGGATGCTTGTCCATTACAATTACATCCAGCCAAATGGCAGAAATAACTATGATGTCCTCGAAAATGACTTGCTCATTTGAAGAAATGCCCATTATAAAAGACCCACAAGACACGCAGCATATCATTATCAGCCAAAATTTATGAGACCTCACCATTTAACCTTTGATTTTCAGAATACATGCACCAGATATGTAGGTCATCATAAACTTCGTCTTGCTATTGCTTGTAATTCTGTCTGCTTCTTTCTTTCCTACAGAAACTTCGATGGAAAAAGAAAGAAAAGATTACTGCATACAAACTTGCCACTTTTTGGTATGATGCCATTGCTAATTTTCAATATTCACAGAATTCACGACTGTATCACCGAGCTTCCTGAGAGCTCCACCACTGTTTGGTTTAAAGGCCCACGGTTTGGCAACATGGACATGTTGGTGACTTGTGATCCAGCTAATGTTCGTTACGTATTGAGCAAAAACTTTCAAAACTTCACAAAAGCTCCTGAATTTAAGAAGATATTCGACAATTTAGGTGATGGGATATTCAACGCCGAATCAGAATCGTGGGAAAACTATAGGAGAACCATTATGTCATTAATCAATCAACAGGGGTTCCAAAAGTTTGTCGCTACAACTAGCCGAAACAAGGTGGAAGAAGGGCTCGTCCCAATTCTGGAGAATGTGGCAAATGTGAGGAATGAAGTGGATATGCAAGAATTATTTCAACGTTTTACCTTTGATTGCACTTGCATCTTGATTTTAGGCCACGATCCGGCTTCACTGCACAACGATTTGCCACATTTGTCATATGAAAAAACCTTTGCTGATGCTGAGGAAGCAACATTGTATAGGCATATTCTCCCAAAAACTTACTGGAAGCTTCAAAAATGGCTCCAAATTGGCAAAGAGAAGAAGCTTAGTAAAGCGATGGACACCATCAATCAATTTTTGATGCATTGCATCTCTCTAAAGCGCTTGAAAATTAATTGTGCAGACCAAACCGCTCAACAAGAAAATGAGGATTTTGACTTGTTAACAAGTTTCATGAAAGCAGCTGGAGAAAAGAGTGATGCACCTGATAACATGTCTGAATATGTTGTAAATATTGGAGGGATGAAGAATAAACAAAAAGAACATTCACAAGAAGTAAAGCAACAATATGAACAAAACCAAAAATTTGTAACAACAAATGTGAAGGTTTGAACGCAGGATCACTGTCCTCAAACATTATTTGCCCTCTCTCCAGTGTTTATGATATGCTTAAGAGTATTCCAGCAAATGGTTTGAAGAATTGTAACAAACCTTGTAAGAAGCATAAAGTGAAATTCTTCCAAAACTTGAAGAACACGAAAATAGAATGAATGTGAATGTAAATGAGACTTGATTGTTTTTGGAACAAAGTGTGGATAGCAAGATGTTTTCAATGTTTGTAATGTATTTGTTTTGATAATTCATCACCTATTTATAGGCATCAATCAATACATCACGAAATTATGCCAAAACAAGATAAAAAGGGCAACTTTTAATCCAAAATGGCTCCCAAATTTCAAATTGAAAAACCAGCCAACGGTTATTTTTTAACACTATGCGTACGCATAGTAGAAGCAAATTAGATTCTGATTTTGCCAAAATGCATCTTGTGTACGCACAAATTTAAGCCTGTGCGTACGCATAGGCAAAAAATCAAATTTTGCATTTTTCAATTTCTTTTTATTCTACCAATTCCATAATTGAGCCTAACAATTAGACCATTATTATTCCATTGATTTTGAACAAATATTCAACAATCCCCCACTTGTTCAAAATCAATACGATCACATATTCAAAATAACGACACTTATGCATAAGGATTAGATATCTTTTGATTTGAATTTAACCATAGTGTAATTCAAACAAAGTAAAGTCGGAATTAGAGGTAGCATGGAAGTTTTGAACCAATTATTCCTTGTGATAATACCGGTAAGAACACACACATAAGTATCACGCATTCTCAAGTTCCTCAACTCGCTTAGCGCTTTTATGACCTTGTGTTCATCCTATTCAATGAACTTTTAAAAGTGAAACTCCAACTCTCTATTGAGGCGGCACCACCTTGAAATTCATTTAGGTGAATTTCTTCCAGTATCTTTGTTACTTTTAAAGATACTTATGCTTTAGCACTAAACTTCATTAAGAGTTTTAAGCTCAAACCTCACTTCAGTAACAACCACATTATTTAATTAGGATAGGATCATTGCGGATTTAAATAATGCTACAACTATCTACATATCGAATGATTTGTTGTTACTGATTACACTCAAAGATTAACGCGATGATTGTAGTACAGGTTTGGGGTGTCGTATCCATAGGGAGATGAAAAATTATTTAAAGGATCAAAAGCTTAGGGTTTTTATCGTGATTTGTGTGAAAATAATTTGTCGATTGGAATGAATTGAAATAAAATTTTAATATCAATATATGAAATAGTGAAGCGCCGGAATTCCCTCGATTAGATTGGTTCAATCAATGTCAATTTTTGCATGAAAATACTCAATTAAAGGTTTTCATCCCAACACTTTAATTGGAAAATTCAACCTTCAAAAAAATCAATTCCACAATAATTCCCCAAACCTAGATTCTTTCATAATATAATTTCACAATAATTCATTGAAATTAGATCCAAAAGCGATTATATACATCAAGCATATAATGGTAAAAAATCACACCAATAAAATATTTAAGATTGAAATTCAATAAGTACTTCAATTATTCAATGGAAAAAATGTGATTGAATCCATGAAAATTTAATACAAATTAAACCAACCTCAAAACATGTTCATAAGAATAAGAAATCTAAATCTAGAATTGTTTAACAATGAAAGAACACATTTAAGCAAGAAAAGACATGAAAATTCTCAAATCTAACCAAGTTCCTTCGTGGCTTCACCAATAAGTTTAGTTCTCCATGGATTTCTTGAGCCAAAAACCAAAGAAAAGTGATAGATAATGAACGATAGGCATTCTGGTTGAGATTAGGGTTTAAAAACGTGTGAAAACCGTGTTTCCATAAGTGGTTGAGTCAATTAAGGAAACAGAAATTTCGGCTTTGAGGAATAACCATGCGACCACATGGTTATAAGTGTTGCGGTCGCATGGTAGAAACATTTTGGCCTCTGGAATCCTCTGGAGGTGCTTGTGCGACCGCATGGCTTTATAACCATGCGGCCGCATGGTTATTGTCATTTTCTCCGCCAGACAATTTTTAGTTTTTTAGTCATAACTTTCTCTCCTAATTTCCAATTGAGAAGATTCAAGTTGCGTTGGAAAGATAACACAAAGGGATACAACTTTGATTTAGAACCATCTTCTAGATTGATCGTTTTCCATGTAAAAAATAGGTCCCAATATAAGGCTGAAAATCGATGCATAACTTTTTCAATTGGAATTGATTTGTGAAAATGTTTTGGTCATATTTCACTTCTTTTGACTTCAAATTACACCCAATTGAATCTTAGATTTCTTGAATCATCATTTCATTACCCGTCTCATTATGTATTATTTGCAACTTGGTCCTTGAACTTTCAATTTCTTCCATTTTGGTCCATTTTGCTCTTTTCTTCTAAATTTCAACTTTTCTACCAAGATACTACCTGAATCAAAGCATAAGTACAATGAGTTTATTTTGGTATCAAATAGTAACACGAATTCAATAATTAGAAGGGGAAAATTATGATATTTTGTACTCTTATCGGTTACCATTTGAACCATTGAATTACCTTTTGAGTAATGATGGGTAGAGTTACCGTCATTGGTGGACCGTTTTAATTAAGGGGTTTCAAACCCATCCTACTAGAAGTAGACGCTACAAAATCTCTATTTAGAGGATTAGTCAAAGGATTCGTTAAATTCTCAATTGAACTTACATTTAGGGAAATTATTCCATTTTTGATTAATTTTCTTATGTAGTCATATCTTAAACTCATATGTCTAGACTTTCTATTGTATATTTCATTGTATGCTTTTGCTAATGTGAGCTGACTATCACATGATAGGTATTGAAAAAATATTCTTTGACCTCGAAAGTATTTCATAAAAAAGATCCTTAAGCCACTCAGCCTCTTTCCTAGCATCCGATAGTGCTACAAATTCAGATTTCATGGTTGAGTGTGTTATGCATATTTGTTTCTTTGATTTCCAAGAAACAACACCTCCTTCTAGAGTGAACATCCAACCTGATGTGGATTTATTTTCACCCGTGCTAGATATCCAACTAGTATCGGTAGATCCTTCTAATATCGTAAAAAATTATCATATTGTAGACCTAAGTTCTTGATTTTCTTTAAGTATCCAAGAACTCTCTTAATGGCTCTCCAATGATCATTGCTTGGATTGCTAGAAAATCTACTAAGTTTACTAATTTCATATGCTACATCCCGGTTGATAAATGTGTTTTTGCACACTTATTTATATCACAAACATCCCTGAATAACGAACAAAATGATTGAATTGTAACTTAATCTCATTACATTTGTGAGTTGTAGGAAACAACAATGAATATGGTGAAATTCAGGAGAAAAGACGCGAAAAAGGATTAAAATGACGCAAAGTGAAAGTTCAGGGACCAAAGTGCAATTATTCAAAAGTTGACCCGATGAACAAATCGAGAAATTGATTAAGCCAATTACCAATTGATGATATCTCGGGATGATGGAATGGAAAGAATGAAGAAAAAATACCAAGAAGTGAAAGATTCAAGTAGAAGGACCAAAATGAATGTATTTCATAGTTGGTAGCACTATGCGACCCCTCTATGCGGTCGCATAGAGGCATACCTCAAATAAAAGGCTACAAAAAATTTACTCTATGTGGTCGCATAGAGTATTTCTAGGGCGAAACTGCTGTTTCCTTTTTCCGCCGAATCTCTTATGGAAACAATATTTTTTTGGTCCTATAAAAACAAAAACTCGACCAGAATGCAAGGGACGTCGTTTTTACAAGTTTTTGAGAGATTTTGAAAGAGAAATGAGGAGAGAACAAGAGGACAACATCGTACCAAGTGAAGATTCAATTGAAGATTGATTCGGGTGATAATGTTTCTTCAAATACTTTTATGTTTTATTCTTTTTAGCGTGTTAGGCTAGATTTATCACTGCTACGAGATCGATGAACCTTGTAATACTACGTTTGATTGTTGATTTGGATTTTTGACGTATTTAAACGCAAGTTCCGGATTTGATTGATTTATTACGTTTTTATCTTCATATGATTATTGCGCACGTAATTATATGATTGTGGTGGCCTATTTTATGCATTCGAAAGAAGGAAAATAGGTTCGACATAGTATAAATCAGCATAGGGTCCGATAGGGGATAGAAATATATCTCTATGCCTTGTGTGAATCATTGGATATTCATGAATTTAAATGCATTTCGGTATGTTAGTATTCGTCATAGAAATATAGTCGAATCATATATTGGGATAGGTTTGGCATTGCTCGAGAGAGATTGCTAAATTAAAATAGGAATATTGATTCATCTTTTGTGGAATTACATGTCAAATTTGCTTGATTGAAAATTGAACGGGTATTGCTTGGAGATTCGTGATCCTAGTGCGTTAGTATATTTATTAATTCCATAAACTCGAGTTAAATTGTATCCAGGTTATTTTACATTTAGTATAACTTTTCATTCATACTTGCATCAAAGTTTATATCTTTCTAGTTAAAGTACAAAACATCAATTTGATTTTCGTGTTTCGGTTAAGTTCATAATATGTTAATTTGAACTAATTCAATCCTTGTGGGATCGATACTTGGACTTATAGTCCATTTTACTACTTGTTAACGAACCGTACACTTGCGGTGGATTTTAATTCGGAGCAAATAATTTCGTGAACACCGGTCTTGTGCATTGAATTGCATACATAAGACTACCAATAGCACTAGCATGTTCCAATTGAACAATTTTCCTTCCATCATTCTTTAATAGTTTTGAACTTGGATCAATTGTGAATTATATTCTTTTATGTTCAAGTGTTTGAATTTGTTTATCACATTCTTGATATAATGTGATTGACTTAGGTGATAACTTCTACTAGTCTTTGTAATTTTGATACCCAAAATGGTATCACATGTCCAAGATCCTTCGTCTTGAATGTGAAAGATAAAAACCTCTTTGTTTCTTTTATACCATCCATGTGATTACTTATAATCAACATATTGTCAA